ATTAATGCATATTCATATCTATTTTAGAACTACAGTAACATCCTCTGATTTGTCTCAACATGGGGACAGGAGAGCTGTCAATAATTAAATTGGAAAAAAAGTAACTTGCGTTACTTATTTGAAAAAGTAACTCAGATATTCTCTTGTAAATTAAAAAGTAATGCGTTACTTTACTAGTTACTTGAAAAAAGTAATCTGATTACGTAACTCGCGTTACTTGTAATGCGTTACCCCCAACACTGTGCATGACCATATTTTAGATCTCTTAATCCAAACCCATACCTAAACTTAGCAACCACCTTGCTACAGTAACTATTAATAAACAGCTAATTAGGAGTTTATTGAGGTAAAACTCTTAGTTAATAGTGAATATGTGTTCCCTAACCTAAAGTGTTACCAGTATTTTTATCATTTTACTATTATTAAGTACTTATTTTTGCTTCAAAAGTCTGCTCCTCATAGCTGCACCTGAAACATCAAGTATCTTCTGTCTGGCTGCGATTGCATCACTGAACTCATCACATCACGCCCAGTTAGTAGACAGTGCTACACTTGTCTCTAATCCATAAACCTCAAATTGTAATTTAATTACAACAAAGTCAAACCTTCAAGAGTGAATGACACCAAACTTTAAGAAGCATGATTGCTCTAGATAATCTCTGCAGATGCTGTGTAAGCTTAAGCAAAGCTTCAGTCCCTAATGCAACTTCAGTCCCTAATGCTGAGTGAGAATGGCTCGTACCATATTCTGTCGGTGGGGGGAGGAGGAACGTTGATGGCGAGTGTTCCAGAGAGCTCTTGAACTTCCACTGCAAGCAGCAGAGGGATGTTGGACATTTCTTCAATCTTTTTTTTAATGTACTCATTTTCTGTGGCCTTCTGGAAATACTTCGACTTGGCAATCTTGTCGACAAATCTCAAAATCCGCCTACTTGTACTGCCTCCAGCTGCAGCCCTGTGGGAAGCAAAGTAAATTAGTCATCAGGTGGTCTTGATTTATTTTAAGCTGCATTTACTGTCAGAGAACTCAAAGAGATGATGCTTTATAGACATAATTCACCCCAAAATCATGTCACTCCAAACCTGTATTATTTCTTGGCTGGAACACCAAAGAAGGTATTTAGTGAAATGTCCAAGCTGCTCTTATCCATACATTGAAAGTATGGACGGTTGTTCCTAGTCCCCATCCACTTTCATTGTGTGGACAAGAAGCAGCATGGACATTCTCCTAAAAAAAAAGCTTAATATAGTTTCCATTATAGAAAGAAAGTCAGAACAACTAGAGGGTAAAAATTGATTTTCATCAGATTTCATTTTTGGGTGAACCACCCCTTTTAAGGACATGAGTGGTGTCAGCAAGACACATACATCTTGAGGTTTAATTTACAAGAACAGCATTTCTGACATACATCCCATCCAAATAATAAAGAGTTGCAACTCCCAAACTTTGAGATCTCAGAGAATAATTGTTTAATGAATAATATTAATGGTTCATTTAATAATAATTACCCCTCAACACCAGGTACAGCCTTTTCAATCAGACTTCCTTGAGTGTCAGCAGATGAAACTTCCTCTTCATCAGAGGATCCTGCACTTGATGATTCCTCATCACTGTCAGCCAGCACAGAGAGCCTGGACCTGCTACTGCAGAACACATCCGGACAGGACCTCATCATAACGAGATTTCATAAACAGACACCCACAAACAGCACTAGGATGGTACTGAGTCTAAGGAACAACAATGCAGCATACAGTGGGCTCCAAAAGTCAATGAAAATATGTTGATTTTAAATTGCTTTTCTAAATAAAAACATATCAAAAGAAAAGCATAACATGCCACAGTATAAAATAAATACATTACCGTTCAAAAATTTGGGCTCAGTATGATTTTTTTTTCTCTTGAAAAAATCAATTGAATTGAAATAAAATCAATTTTATTCTCCAAAAACTTACAACACATTAATGGTCTCCAATTCTGCCTCTGCCTCGGGGACTCCCTCCTTCCCAAGTTTGGAGAGGTTGATTTTGGTCTCTAGAGTCATCTGTAGCGCTCCTGTGTACTCCACCTCCAAATGTAACCAAAGGCCTAACACACAAAGACAAGACAAGTTTCTTTTTTTTCCTGAAATGTAATAATAGCAAAAGTTCCCAGGTTAAAAAAAAGTACACTTCCATAATGTACTTAAAGTGCTCTATTTTCACGCACTAATTAATATACTAAAAATGATTCTTCAGTACTTCTTAAGATAAACATAAGATCAACTAAGTGTACTCAACTGTGCTACTTTGGGACACCATGAATATAAACTAAAATGTGCTTTTAATATACTATGTCTGTATTTAAAAATGTATTTAGTCACGACTTGTAGTACACTTGAGTGTACTAGTGTATGAAAGATGGATTAAAGCGTACTACAAGTGGTAACTAAATAAAAAAATTTTAATATAGAGATATGATCTGTTCATGGATGAAATTTCAAATAATTATAGTGCAATAAAACGCCCACGTGTCTACTAACACACTTTACAAATCCATAAATAGGATGAGACCTGAGCAAGGGAGCCAGACTCTGTCAAAAGCCATTACGTGTTACATAACACCCAGAGATCATGAGGCGGAGAGAAAAAGACGCATGCTGTGCCCCACACAATAATAACTTCACTCCTCATGGGGATAATATATCCCCCATATGCTTCACAGTGATCATTTTACCATACAGCTGAGTGCGTAAACAGACATGTGCGCTTGCTCGCAGGCATGCTGCTATTCGCTGAGGAGAATGATGTGATGTTATGTGCTTCTTTGATCCCTGATATTACAGAAGGATAATAACATTTCATCTACTGCTTAGTGCAGGAACATAATAACATATACGCTCAAACAGCCCTGATGGATGAATGACCTAATCTGCTCTTTTATAAGAGGCTCTTAGGAGCCCTACCAACCTCTGCTGTTGACCTGTGGTAGTGATGTGCCTGTTATCTGGGGCATGCTGGAGCCCATGGCCAGTTCGGTGAGGGTTAATTCATCCATGAAGTAAGGCAACTGTGGAAAAAAAGGGTAAACTCACACAGAAGCACTTGAACACATGGTAGGAATATTAATATCACAAGCGATTTATTCCACTTTTCGAAACCATGCTTGAGGAAGATTTAAAAAAAGAGCATTACCTCCTCACACTTTGTCCAGTTAAAGAACATCCTGTAATTCCTGTGTGTTCTCTTACCCGAATTTTGCTCAGCTTTCGCTGAATCTTCTGTTGGACTTTATCAGCCCAGTACTTCTCATGGAGGAAGTCCCAAAAGATCCGACCAATTAGTGCATTCAGCCAGTCAGGTTTTGTTTCATCCTCATGGCAACAAAAGGTCTGCTCCAAAAGGGGTGATAGAAGAAAAAACTTTGGATTAATGAAGATACACTGAAGATACACTCTGCCACTTTTCAAATAAACTGTCCTCTAAGCAAGGAGAAATGAGATATGAGAGGTAACTTAATTAACATTACTACTTAATATATTTCAAGATAATTTCTATTAACTGAACTGAAAAAAAAATGGTCCAGTTGCACAACTTGCACCATGTTAGGGGAACTGTGTCATGTCAAGAGGTATATTATTGGGGAACATATGACATATTTGCATTACATTAATGAGCTTGCTGAATTGTTGGGCACTATGTTAAAGGGATAGTTCACCCAAAAAAGAAAATTCCCTCATTTCGTTCCAAACCCGTAAGGCCTTCGTTCATCTTCAGAACACAAATTAAAATATTTTTGATGAAATCCGAGAGTTTTTTGACCTTGCATAAACAGCAACGCAACTGACACGTTCAAGGCCCACAAAGGTAGTAAGGACATCGTTAAAATAGTCCATGTGACATCAGTGGTTCAACCTTAATTTTATGAATCTACGAGAATACTTTAATCAAACAACTGTATTCAACAATTTCTTCTCTGTGTCAGTCTTCGCCACGCGTTCACGAGAGTACCACAACACATACGCAAGAGACGGGTGAGTAATTAATGACACAATTTTCATTTTTGGGCGAACTATCCCTTTAAATATTTGCATTTTAAAAAGAAAATATGTACATCAATGAAAAATAAGCAGATTTATAAATGTTTTATAACATTTTTAATTACATTATGAAAATGTGCCACAAAATAAAATTTTGGAATGGAGTTAATACATGTCTCTACTATACAGGAAAAGCTTAATATTTTAGAAAATTTAAAGTCGGCATGAAACAGAAGTTGCTATTGTCTTTTCTTCTCAACTGTGACGTATATCCGAGTGAAACAGCATCTGAAATGAGAGGGCGGGACTTGATTTCGACCTTCGGGAATTGATTGGATCGTTGGAAGTTGGGGCGTTGCTAACAACATGGAGGCAGATCTGAATGCCAGTTTGCAGTAAGTAGTGGGGGATTTCTCTCCACTGGATTCACAGCCGGCTCCCCAGCATGAATAAATGTTTTATTTATTAAAGATGACGACGACGATCAATGGCACAAAACATGCCTAAACAGCGCG